GGGGAGGGCGGGGAAGGAGGGGGAAAATGAGGAGTTGATGCCAGGGACTTAAGTGGAGAGCAAATGTTTTGAGAATGATGAGGGCAATGAATGTCCAAATGTGCTTTACACAATTGATGTATGTATGGATTGTGATGAGTTGTATGAGCCCCTAATAAAACGATTAAAAATAAAAATTAAAAATAGTGCATGACTGACCTTAAAATGACTCCTCTGATCATTTGTCATTGAGGAGAAAAAACTGTGTGTGCATATTTATATACTTTTCCCCCAAAGAGAAGCGCGTGTTTATATTAGACAAGTAAGGAATGCAGAGGGGTCAAACCGGAGGAGCTAAAGGCAGCAGATCTGCCCAGCACCAGGGATGCCCATGTTTGCTTCTCTGAACATTAAAAATTGGGATGGATCGTGTCTTAAGTTGTACGCTAATCTGATTTCTGCACTCAATGTCATATGCATCTGTAGATGTAAAAAATAGTACCCTGTAAATAATTTTTGAATGATTTCATGCTGTTTCATTGTATGGCTGCATTCCCAGAAGAATTTAAGAACCTATCCATGAATTTTTAAAGATAAAAGTCAGCTGTATAATTAGTCAGACATTTAAATTGTTTACATTTACTTCTAGCTTCATAGTTTGAAAGAATAGAGAAGAAAAATGTTAATTTCTATAATCCTACGATTTTAAGTAATCTTACATTTTTCCTTTCATTCTTCAATATCTATAGCTATATTTACATTGTTGGCTGCCATTGAGTCTGTCCTGACTCATGTAGCAGGGGGTTTTCTAGGCTATAAACTTTTATTAAAAAATCATTTTATTGAGGGCTCATACAGCTCTTACCACAATCTATACATACATCCATTATGTCAAGCACATTTATATGTTTGTTGCCATCATCATTTTCGCCGTCATATGCATTATTGCCATCAACATTTTCTTTCTGCTTGAACCCTTGGCATCTGCTTTTCCTTTTTCCTCCCTCCCTCCTGAACCCTTGATAATTTATAAATTATTTTTTCATGTCTTACACTGACCGATGTTTCCTTCACCCACTTTTCTGTTGTCCATCCCCCTGGGAGGGAGTTATATGTAGATCATTGTAATAAGTTCCCCCTCTCTCCCCACCTTACCCTTACCCTCCTGATATGCCTACTCTCATTATTGGTCCTGAGGGGTTTATCTGCCCTGGATTCCTTGTGTTTCCAGCTCTGATCTGTACCCGTGTACATGCTCTGGTATAGCAGGATTTGTAAAATAGAGTTGGGGTCATGATAGTGGGGAGTGGGGAGGAAGCATTAAGGAAATTAGAGGAAAGTTGAATATTTCATCAGTGCTGTGCTGCACCCTGACTGGCTCGTCTCTTCCTTGTGACCCTTCTGTAAGGGGGTGTCCAGTTGT